ACACACACACACACACACACACACACACACACAGACGCTACTAGAAAAAAATCAACAAAAAATGCACGTAGGCTACAACTGTCCAGGCCCGTGTGTCAGTGCGCCCCGCTGAGCAGGGAAGTCCTCAGAAGAACGCAGTGCTGGCCGGCAGGTGCGGTGTAACCAGTGCACTCTGTAAAGGCGCATCCCCGACACCGTCCACAGCTCACTGCTGGAAGGATCGATGCCTTGTCGTTGCCCGGCCTCCTGAAGCCCGGATCCGGGAGAAGCTCAGAGTCTGTGTTCTGCCGGCGGGTGAGGACTATCTCACCCCCCAAAGTCTCCGCCTGGAGAGCTCCACCTCCCCAACCCCGGCTCACTCGCCTGGGCGCCAGGCACCGCGTCGCACCCGGGCCGGATGGAGGCCTCGGACGCCTGCTCCCCACTCCCGACGCAAGTGGGGAAAGCTGAGCACCCCAGGCTTCCAGCAGAGGCAGCGGGAAGTGAACGGGCATCAGGGCTCTTCAAGGCACCTTACATTTTGGGGATGTCAGATCCACTGCAAACACGGGGAACAGCCTCCCCAGTAAAAGCAGCCACGTGTAAATGCACGCGTACGACTTCAGAGCATCCACAGAATCACCCCAAAGCCAGTAGGTATCAGGACAGGAAAAAGACACGAACTCAACCGGTCTCGCGCCTGGACGCCGCTGGGTCGGCATCGGGGGCAGGGGCGCCCGGCCCTCACACCCTCTGCTCGGGCTGGACACGGCCGGCGCCCGTCGGACAAAGCGGACCTGCTCCCGTGCGCTCTGTGTGACTGGCTCTTTCCTCCCACCGCCCCGCCCATGCCCACGGCAGCTGCTGGGGCTGAGCTGTGTCCACAAATAGATCTCTGCGGTCCTACTCTCAGACCTCAGAATGTGACCGTATTTGGGGACGGGGTCTCACAGAGGTCATTAGTTAAAGCGAGGACATCAGGGTGGACCCAAAGCCCACAGGACTGTCCCTTTTATATAAAAAGAGAGAGAGGCCACGTGAAGGAGGCAGAGGTGGGGAGACGTGTCCACCAGCCAGGGAGCCCGAGGACAGACAGAGCCCCAGCATCGAGGGGCCAGGCCTGGGAAGACCCCGGAAGTCCTCTGGGGGGAGCCCGCCCGGCGGCACCTGGGTCTCACACCTCAGCCCCCAGGCTGCGCGAGAGGCGACTTTGACAGTTAAGCCCCCAACGTGGGTGCTTTGTCACAGCCGCCCAAGCACACTCTGGTGGCAGCGCAGTGACCGTCACCGAGAAAATAAGGATTCATGCCACCCCCTTACAGTTAAGTAAAAGAAAATGCTCGGTTTAGAACCAAGACTGGAACCTAGGCTTCCTGGTCGTCTGCAGACGAGTCACCCCACCTCCTCCAGACATCAGCCCTCACCTGTCAGAGGCAGGTCACCAAGGCTTCTCCAGGCAAGTATGACCAGTCCACCTCCCTACACCTCCACCCTTGTCCCCGCCTCTCCCCCAAGCTCCAGTCCCACAGCCTCTCTGACAGCTCAAGCATGTCCAAAGCATCACTTTGACCTTTTCCGATCCAACCGTTCTCTTCCTACTGTCCCCTTCTTGGCAGGTGGCACCCCCTTCAGACCAAACGCCAGGAGTCATGCCCCACACCTCTCTCCTCCCCCTACCTCCAGTCCACCAGCAAGACCTGGAACAGCCCCACCAAAGCCAGCAGCCCCCAGCTCCTCTCTCCCCATCTCCGCTCCCCAGTGACAGTAGCACCCTGCCCCTGCCAAGCGTAACAACCCAAAGTGTCTGCAGCCACTGCACACGTCCCCTGGGGGCAAGAGACCCCTAGATGAGACCGTCTGCTCTAGTCTCACCCTGTGGCCTCAGCTCAGGTCTGGCCGGGACCCCGCCTCTGGCCTCTAAGGAGCTCCCTGTCTCGGTCCTGCCAATAGGTCACCCCCTGAAAGACAGGGCACCAGGCTGGGGTCACTGGTGAACAAACCAGGTTAAGTAAGGATGCACGACATCCCCTCTTCAAACGTGAGGGAACGATCCCATCCCCCGCCCCCGGCCTCGGTGTGGGACTGGGGACTGGCGCTCCTCTCCTCACGGGGACCTCAAAAGTAACCAGAGAGACACGGATTAAGGCCACATGGCCAGGTCCACCTATTCAAAAACAGCTTTTAAAATTAAAACAGCCAAAGTGGGCTCAGGTGGGTCACTAGCAGCCCCAGTCCCTGCTGGAGGGGCTGGGAACTGATGCTCCGCTCTGGGGAGCCCCCGTCAGTCCATCTCCGAAAAGCTGCACTAAACCAACAATACTACACATGGAAAAAATCTCAGTACAGAAACGTTCGTGTGGCATTATTTTTAACGTTAAAAAAAAGCTGAAAATAACTCAATCATCTAATCGTGAGGGAAATGTGGAGAAAACATGGCTGTATCTTCTTAACACAAGTGAGTGAAGAATAGACAGTAAGTACGCATGTCTGTGACATGGCTACAGCTATGCTCGAAATCCACACGGTGGAGGGACCACAGATCCCACGTCCACACAGCGGGGGTGCTGCAGGGCCCACGTCCACAGAGCAGGGGGGCCGCAGAGCCCACGTCCACACAGGGGAGGGGCTGCGGATCCCACGACCACACAGGGAAGGGGCCACAGAGCCCACGTCCACACAGGGGGGAGGGACCACAGACAACGTTTACCTCTTCTTTCCACTCCTGAACTTCTCAGATTTTCTTTAAAGGCACGTATTGCTATAAAATGTTTTTCATGGATTGTTTTGAAGGGAAGAAATAAATCCATTCCTTCGGGTTGGGCTATGTGTCCACAAGAGTTCCCGTCAGAAGTAAGACACTGCTGGGAGGCGGGGCACGGGCTGAGAGGTGCTTAAACACAGACCCGGCCCCGGGGCTCCCATTCAGTCCCCATGGCAGACAGACAGGGACAGTTATGCTGTGATACGAGGGCCAGGAGGAGGAACCTCAGGTGACCCCAGAGAGTGTTCTGGGCCGAGAGCCCAAGGGAGGGAGGGGCAGCAGGGCAGGCTGACAGGGGCTCCTGTCCCAACCTGCCGCTTCCTGGACCATCCGCTTGCTTCCCACGATGAGCCAGCAAGGGGGTGACAGGTGTCATTCGGGAGGAGTGAGCTCGGGGACCCCCTCCTCAGTAGAGAGGGGCAGATCAGGCATGTGTCCCACCCCCAACCCGTGCACACACACGTTTGCGGGGCAGGCCAGCCTCTGCTGAGTCCCAGAGACGTAGACGATGTGCAAGCTGACCCCAGACATCCCACATCACACTCTGCCAGAGCTGTTTTGCCCCAGTGCCGAGGACATCTACGAGACCCAGTGCCACTTCCGTCCCGAGCTGAAAACCATCTGTGAGCCCCACAGGTTCTAATCACAGTCAGCCTTTCCCAAACATCTGCACCGCCTTCCACCAGCCCCCTGAAGGCCCTGGACCACCTGGGAGGAGAAGGGGTTCTGTGGCTGGGAGGACAGAGCCCCCAGCTCCGGCAAACCGCTTTGGAAGGACACTCCCACAGGCACTCCAGGCCCCGTGAGGACGGTGGCGGAAAGGGTTGGCGGGTGCCCTGCACTGACCTTCTCCAGCTTCTCGAAGTGTTCCCGGAGGAACTTCATGGGGCGGTCGGGCTTGGAGACGCAGAGGTGCACGATGCAGTCCCTGAGCACCTGCTGGACGCTGTGCTTCTGGACGTAGAGCTCGCAGCCTCGCAGAGCCTCGTCCTCCTCCAGCGGGTAAGGCGACGGCGAGGCCATGGTCAGCGGGACTGCACCTGGGGAGGAGAACAGGGATCAGGCTCGTGGTTCGGTGAACACCTGTCCTACACGCATCCTAAGGTTTACCCGTGCGGGCTGATCCAAGGACTGACGCGATGTGCTCACATGGCCCGGGCGTTTTACCCTGCACTTGTCAGCGAGATGACCTGTTAATACAACCACCGCGATGCCTAACAGCTAACAGACCCCCCGCGGACGGGGGTGGACCAGGCAGGTTTTGCACGCTGTTGAGAAGCAGCAGTGCAGGGCGGGGGGGCTCCTGAGGGTCCAGCAGGCGGTTGTGCGGCCTCACTTGCATCCATACCCTCTTTCAGGAGAACAGTGGGGGGGGGCTGTACCTCCCACCCCAGCCGAACACCATGGGAGATGGGGTTGGGGTGCCTTTGCAAGCTCCGCAGGAAAAGGGAGGCAGGAAAACAAACGGAGCGCGGCTGAGGGGCCCCAGGAGGACAAGCCCGGGGACAAAGGCAGGCCCGCGTTCCCC